CCAATACTGCACACAACCAAGGCCAAATCCCATTAATACTGATACAAACCACACCAATTGGCTGGCAAACCACTAGGCATTACACAGAACAAACCCAATCACTACGGAGAGAACAGATCCCCCGTTGAGACAACCCCTGAAACAGCAGACAATCACTTCAGATTATTTGTTTAGCAAAGGAAACTTCAGCCAAGCAACAATCCTAGCACACCAAACCTCAATCCAATCAGCCAAGCAACAACCTTAACCACGCCAAACATCAATCCAATCAACCAAACATGGAACAGGCGCAAGAAAGCGCATAGGCTGATAGGCACATCCTAGCAGAATAATCCTGTGAAAAAAAATGAGGCGAGGAGAGAGGCCGCGCGGTACCTTACGCCCTCCGATACCCTCCGACGCCGGTACGGTACGGAGAACCCGAAGCAGAGGCACCGGCGGTCGACCGCCCCTCCCAGCAGCCTCCACGGCGCCCGACGGAGCTGGCTAGGGTCCTGGCCTCGGAAACCCCAAACCTAGCGGCGGCGGCGGCGACGACGGGAGGCGAGGCGAGGAGTGAGGCTGCGCGGTACCTTACGCCACCCGATTCCCCTCCGACGCCGGTACAGAGAACCCGCAGCAGAGGCACCGCCGGTCCACCGCCCCTCCCAGCAGCCGCCACGGCGCCCGACGGAGCTGGCTAGGGTCCTGGGCACTGGAAACCCCAAACCTGGCGGCGGCGACGGGAGGCGAGAAGAGACGAGAGAAAACCGAAGCCAAGAGGTGATAAAGGAGCGGAGCAAAACCCCAACCCAACCGCCGCGCCGCCCACGTTGCTCGATGGATGGCGTGGAAGAAGAAAAGTTGAAGGACAGCTCCGGAGCTGCCAGTGGGAGGAAATGAACGGACAGGAGCGACTGAACTGGACGGAGGAGACCGGTCAAACGCAACGCAGCTACGTCCCGTTTGCCGTCTGAGCGGAATGGACGTGGAACACGAAACGGGCGGAAGGGGAACAGGAGGGGGCGGCAGAACTGGACGCGGACGGAAACCGATCAAACGCCGCTGCGGTTCCGTTTGCAGTCTGGGCGGAATTCATCCATTCCGTTTCGTTCGAAATTTGAATTTGGAGCCAGTTTCACGGAACGGGACGGAGGGGAGAGGACGGGATCAACGGACGCGGTGCGCCGGCTCGGTGGCGCGGAGCAGCCTTTTGGGCCGTGCAGTGCTGGTCTGGCACTTGGCAGTGGCACGCCTTCCCTGCTTCTCGTTCACGTTACCTGGCGTCTGCGGTTTGGGCCTTGGTGCTGGACAGCTGTGTGGATCTGGGTGTTTGCTGCAGTAAAGCAGATGCTGATAATACAATAATTTATAATTATTTTATTCTAAATTATAAGATGATTTGATTTTTTAGATATAATACTTTTACTAGTGTATACAAGAGCTATATATCTAGAAAATTCAAAACGTCTTATAATTAAGAATGGAGGGAGTACATTTTTGCTACCATGTTCGCTTGAGCTACTTTTCAGCGATAGAATAGTATTTTTCTCTCTCAACATTTTAGCATAAGCCAAATTTCAGCATAAGGGATGTTGTTCAACTTATCCTTGACATTGGCTAATTACAATACAATAATTTATATACATTTTGAAACTAGTTTGCTGGTTAGTGAGGGACATGTAAAAAAGAATGTCGTCTCCTAGTCCCCTCAAGCCGTTGCCAGCACCACCTTTTTTTGTGATTACCGTGGTCCCCTTCCTGCACGCCGGCCTCACCAGCAGTGAGAGGAGCCAGGGCAGGTTCACCAGTATTATTCAATAATATTTAGTTAAGTATTTAAATTTTTTGACAAAAAGTTCATATATATAATGTATACATATTTGTATATTAAAAAATTAAAAATACAATTTGAGGCCATAGTAGGTTTGGAAGCAAAACCAGAGAGAGCCTGAATATGCCTCGCATGGTAGTTTCCTTGGCATATATCTTCCACACCTATGAAAATGTACACATACTCCACCACTATAAGTTACTTAGAGAGACTGAAGTCATCACAAGTGGCTCGCTATTGATGAGCTCGTTGGCTAACGTTGAAAGAATAACATCGTTAAATTCTAGAATAATTTTAGGAAAATGAGAGCACTCATGCTAAATAATGAGCTTGATTTCAAGTAGACAGGTTCCACTACAAGGTACCTAACCAACTGGCTATGATCAGTTGGCATTTGTTTTTTAGTTGTGGGTGAAATAAATTAGACTTAGCCATTAGTTGATGAATGTTGTATGGTTGAAAGGACGGTGAGATGTTCAATTTGCCAATAGGAGCTTGATGTTGTATGGTTGAAGAGATAATTCCCTATGTACCACCAAGAATTATACAATTTTTCTGTTCGTAACTAGAAAAGTTCCAATCCCATGTATACCATCAAATTTGTTTTTCTATTCTCTCCTAACCATTACCGCCACATGTTGCCCTAACAGTTGTTAACTAAAGGTTGGAAAGATTCAGTATCATCATTTCTCTAGATTTTTCTCTTAAAAAAATGTATGTCTTCTTCTCCCCCAACCCCAAAGCACCCTCCCCCCACAGCCGTCGTGGCCATCCCAGTGATCCCTCTCCTTCCTTCCCCCATGCCTCCGTTGCGCGAGAGGGTGGACGCGTCGGGTAGCCATGCCACCATCGGCATAAGGCTGTGACGAACAGCAACCATAGGCCCCCTCACGCGTCGCCGTCGTCCTGTTCCCTCCACGCCGTGCGTCACCCTACTCCCGGTCACTACAACGAGTCCTACTCCCAGTCACCTGCCATGAGATGCACCACAACCACGTCATGCACCGCCATCCCGCTCGCCACCGATCCTGCTCCCTCAGGTGCGACGCCGTTTTTCAGAGATGTTTGGCCATGGCTCGTTGTCGGATGGTGTCCTTGACCACGACATCGAAAATGACATGCTAAACACTCATTATTGACCCTACTAAATCCGCGTCCCTCCTATGTGCCCGTGCGTGGTGTGCAAGGGGAGAGGGGAAAAGCAAAATTAGAAACATGTTTAAGGTGAAGAAGTGCATGGATCGAGAAAGAAATAAAAGAGGAAGATTGGAGTCATTTGTAAATAGCTTAGGGTTCCATATGCAAAAGTGTCATTACTTTGTTATTTACCTTTTTGTGCAATGGCAAATACAGAATTAAAAATTTCATTCGACTTAGTATGAACCAAGGGCAAAATGGTCCATTTATACTCTTAACAGACATTTCATGTACTTTGGACTGCGGTGGCCTATAGAGAGAAAAAGAAAGCAATGGTACAAATGTCATGAGAACTTTTTTAGTGGCTTGTGGAGAACTTTGGTACCATTCATGGATGCTTAGAGAATTGACTCTGGATGAAAAGTCAGCGAGACATCCAATTTGCCTATATGAGCCTCATAGCCTTTCACTCGGACTACTGTCAGCACGAGAGCGTGAACATATCAAGGACTTTCCCATCTGAAATTATCTCTAAAATCAATGAATGATGTAATTTGATTGGTATTAATAATTGGGAGAGCAGGGGCTGGTTGACTTTTCCACCCGAAATCAACTCCAAAACCACTGGATGATGTGATTTGCTCGGCATTAATTGTTTAGCGGATATTTGGTTCTATGATTTGAGCGAGAGTAAAAATTAGGCTTAAGCACTAGTTGAGGAGGTCAAATAAGCGTGTTTTCTTGTAAAGATGGATGGAACGAGCGTGTGAGCGAGAAACGAAACGAGACCCAGCGCGTGAAATTTTTTGCCCAAGACGTAGGACAGGTGAGCTTACAGCGTTGTATTTGCGACGGACGCGCTCTTTCAAAAAAAAAAAAACTCTCTACATGTGGTCGTCCGCTCGTCCCACTTTGCCCCTCGTCGAGCGACCCATTCTTCTGCGCCGCACCGCGCCCACTCCGCCGCCATCCCGGCGGCGCCTCCATCTCGCGCCGTGCCCCAATCCGGCGCACCGCCGCCGCCATCCCTCGCGGTGCCTCCATCCCCCGCCGTGCCATGTCGTGCCCCGTCCTCCGCCACGCCCAGGCAGGCGGCCAAGAAAGGGACCGTCGCTGGCTGGGCGTAGGGCAGGCGCAGGCGCAGCTGGCCGCTGCCAGGCCGCGCACCATCCTCGGTCGTCGGCTAGCCAGAACCTGTCGTTCCCCTGCTCTACGCTACGTCGTACAAAAGAAGGGAGAAAAACAAATGTTGCAAGCCTATGTTTTAAATGTTTCGGTTGTTTCGTAGATTTGCTGCAATTGTTTCATATGGATGTTGCAAAAGTAGATCGAGATATTGCATATGTTCAATGGTTGTACGCATATGTTGCAAGCTTTTGTTCTCAATGTTTCATCTATTTTTTCAGACGTGTGTTGCAAGTGTGTTTATCTGAATGTTGCATATGTCTCACACATATGTTGCAACTCGATGTTGCGTATGTTTTACAATGGTTTTCAGTTTTTTTTTGCTAGTGTTTCATATGCATGTTTTAAGTATTTTATCTGTCTTCTGACGTATGTTGCAAATGCTGCATCTGGATGTTTTAAAAATAGATCGGTGTTGCATCCCTTTGCTCGTCTTCTGTTGCCTCGTCTCGGTGTCTCCGCGGTAACGGTTGGGCATCCGAACCAGTGGTACAAGTGGGAGCCGCCCCCTTCCTCTCTTCTCGTGCAGGTGACGTTGGTGGCGACACAAGGCCTCGCATGGGGCGCGTCCGGCCGGACGTCCAGGCGCAAGCACCGCCGGAAAATAACAGGTCAAATAGAAATCATAACCAACGCGCTTAACGTAAGGCATTATACCTTGCGTGTACTCCACCTACAAGGCACGGTGATTCTACACCCAGTGCTTTGCTTGGCCTGGCATCCAGCAGCGGACAACGCAGCGTGCTTTTAATCTCCGGCCGGGGCCCCTATAAGTGGAGAGCAGGCGCGAGCTGTATCGTCGAGACGATATGGTGTCACGCTGCGTCGGGCTCGCCATTTCCCTTGGCTGTTTCATTCGTCCAGGATGGGTCTTGGGGCTGCCGGCAGCGGCGTCGGCTCTCCGCCATGCTGGGGCCGCCACCTCGCCGCCGAGGGCTGCACGAGCACGGGGGCGACCATGTCCGTCGCCGCGCACAGATCACCGGTGGCGTCGGTATCGGGCGGCTGCTGCAGCTGCGGCGGCGGGCACGGCAACTGCGTCAACATCTACGTGAACAACAACGTGCAAGGAGTCACCAACTCCGTGCTGGTCGGCAGCAAGGTCGTCATGAGGGACCCCGGGCCGCGCATCTCCTCCAGCCGCCACCACCAGCCGCCGCGAGACGGCCGCCGCCGCCGCCGTGAGGGAAAGCGAAATCGGCACCAGCAGCTGCAGCATATGGCGAAGACGATCAAGATTGGCATCGTCGCCGTCGTCGTGTCGTCGTTGCTGTTCGTAGCAGCTGCGGCGACGACCATCCTTTGCCTCCATCTTTTTGTACGCGTACGCGAATGACTCCATTAACTTTCTTTTGCCATTTGCCAATCGCCGGAAACTTAACAGTGGGCCGGTCAACTGCCGGCCTCGGTAACTCGGTTCCTGATTCCAGTTCCAGCAGCAAGCTAATATAAGGCTGCCCTGCTGCTCTGATAGCTACAGCCGTAGAATAGTGACACTCGTGGCACAAAAATATAATCTCCATCTCCTCAAGACACAACAAAAACATTTTATTTTTTATTATGAGTTTTTTGAGGGATCAAAGAGCTAGGGAGTGCTCCTACACTAGCTGTCTATAGCTCGATTGGCACTGTATTGTTTGAAACCGTTTTTTTTTCCGTGACCTGGTGTGTACCTGTTTTTCATTATGAGGAAGAGAATTTAAACCGTACACAACCGACCGCGGGGAAGTTGATTTGTTGAAACCGTTTTAAATTTCAACAACTCAAAATCTCAAATGGATATAGCTAGAGTAATGACTAGTAGAAGGCTAGCTAGTAGCCAGCGCGAACTCCATGAGCGGCGACACGTCGTGGCGCTGCTCGTCGTGCTCTTCGTGTATACGGTGATGTTCCTCCAGCGCGACTCCATGAGCGGCGACACGTCGTGGTGCTGCATGTACACCCCGAACTTGAAGTAGTAAGAATCACTGGGGATGACGCTGGCGCCAAACTTGCGGCGGCCGTCGACGTAGACGGCCACCGTGGACGCGGCGACGTCGTGCACCACATTGAGGCGGAACCAGCGGTCGTAGATGCGGTCCTCCACCGCCTCGCCGCTGTAGTACCGCAGCGTGCCGTTGTAGACGTGCAGCATCAGCACCGTGGCGTGCGCTGCGCCCTGCTCGTTGTGGATCTGCATCACCGACGCGCCGGAGGTCCCCGTCGGCACGTAGCCGTAGCCCTCGAACTGCCACACCCCCGACGAGTAGTCATGGCCCTGCAAGTGCAAAAACACACGTATATATATATATATCATGGAGAAGAAACTGGTGAGGAAGGGAGTGAACCCATGGTTGCTTTGGGTGCTTCCTTACGGCGAGGCGGACTTCGGTGCGGGGAAGGGTGCCGGTGACGGTGTTGAAGGGCTTGTCGCCGGCGTAGACCAAGAAGGTGCGCACGCCGGTGACGTTGTCGTAGCTGTAGCGCTGGTTCTCCGGCACGTCGTAGGGCCTCTGCACCTTGAAGTTGCTCTCCGTGAGCTCCACCTGGACAAACCCGGCGGTGAGGTTGCGTTCATCGATGGCCGAGGCGGAGGACGCCAAGGCGACGACCACGGAAGACAGGACTAGCAGTACTAGCTCCGTACGCGCGTCTTCGCCACCGCCGAGAGCGCGGTGGAAGGAGGAGGCCGCCATGATCGGTGAGGGGACCTCGTCTTGATGCAATGCAAGAGTCTGCTGTGTGCCTGGTTAAATGTGGGATTATCGGTGGCGATGTCCAAGCAAGAAGGGGTTGTCATGCTTGGTGGCCTCCGGCAAAACCGGGTGTTTGTTTCGATGTCGTCAATAATTAATCCTGGCTTGATGGTGCGCGTCGGGAAGGCCGGCAACCACTACTCAATTTGACAATGGAAAATAGAATCTAGTCTCACATGTGAAATGAAGTACTGTTGGAAAATTAGGTCTTTACGAAATTATATTTCGTATATATGAATCATGATAGACGTAACTTAGCAGTAACAAGAACACTACCATCAGTCCTAGCACATGCGAATCACCTCTTGGAGGCATTTGGTCAGGAAGCTTATACTAAATGTTAAATGCTAAATACTATGAGAACCCCGCGTCACTGGGAGAAGCTGCAGATTCTGATTGTGATATCTATGATTATAGTACTATTAAATAAAGTATGTTTTTTCTCACATTACGTGAAAAACGGTTTGTAGCAACGGGACACATTTTTTTAGGGGCGGCCGGTGATGGAGCCGCCCCTACAGCAGCGTGCTCAGGAGCCCAGAGACCAGCCGCCCCTACAAATGGAACAGCAGGGCGGCGACTGGTGATACGAGCCGCCCCTATAAATAGGTCGGATTTGTAGGGGCGGCTCACTCACCAGCCGCCCTCGGTGTTACTATTTATTGGGGCGGCTCAATAATCAGCCGCCCCTACAAATGCTCAAACAAATAAATACTCGGAACCCGCACGCGACGCCGACCGCAGATCCTTCGTCTCTTTCTCCTCTCAGCCCTCCCTCCCTCATTGGCGAATCGACTCAAACCCTAACCCCTCTCCTTGCCAATCCCCACCCATGGATCGCGACCGCTCCTCGCGCCGCACTCGCGACGACGACGGGCACCACCGATCCCGCGACCGGGACGACGACCGACACCACCACCGCAGTCGCCATGACACCGACGCTCACCACCGGCGCGACGGCGGGGACGAGGACCGCCGCCGCCGCCACCACCGCGACAAGGACGGGGGTGGAGGCGGCGAGGATGACCGCCTCCACCGTCACCATCACGACAAAGACGACAGCCGTAGCTACCGCTACCGTGACAGCGGGGATGACGACCGCCGCCGCGGGAACCGATGGTCCGTTTCCCCGTCCGAGTCCCCGCCACCCTCGTCGAAGTGGGACCGCTCGTCTAGCCGCCCGCGAGAGTCCGTCGAGCGCCGCGACTCCACCGACCGCGAAGCGATGGTCGCCGCGTGCTGAAGCGGAAGGCCCACGCGGCGGTGGCGACGGGGACGAGCCCCGCCGCGAAGGGGGAAAGCGGGTCGAGGCATCCGAGATCCGCCCCGCCCAAGGAGGAGAGGCCTAGGCAGGAGTGCCGGAGGTTTGAGGATGTCGATGCGATTGGGAAGAATGGTGATGTGAGTAAGCTGGGTAAGGAAATCTCATCTCATGAGCGTAAGAAGGGGAGCTATCAATTAACGGGATTCACAGAACGGCGATGCGCGTAATGTAAGTGTTATTACAGTTGCTGAGTTCCGTTTATTGTGTTTTCATGTTGATTACTAAAGCTTGGGCAAGAGAATGCTTATGAGTGCTAGTATATCCTTTTTTTCAAGTGAGCGATGGTCTTACTAAGTTTCTGGGTTATGGAAACCTGGAGAAATGGAATGGCTAGATTATTGGGTCATACTATTTGCTTAGTTCATAGAATATCAGTTCATAATCTGTCATCTGTCTAGAAAATGTTGAAGAGCTTAAAGTCTTTCTGCAGAATCTGCGTTTTAAGGTTCATTTCTGCTCAAGAAGTTTATGCCATCTAAAAAATTGAGTGGTATTGCTTGAATGTCTCCTTGTGAAAATATCTTAGGAGATTAATAGTTACTGAACTTGATTTGATTAGCCACTGCTATTACAATGCCTACTTTTGCCCTAGATTCAATAAGAATAAGGCAGCTATGGCAATGCTTCCTAAGTCATAATTATGACTATTTTGTGCTATCATAAGTCTACAGTATGCTTTGTTTGACACTTATCAGTTGGAAGTATGGTGCACATGCAGCTTTTCTTATTATTGTAAATACATTTTAACATGCTACTCAGCAGTCAAGACTTTAATGCAGTCCTCTGTTGGTTCATGTTTGCCCAGTGATGGATAGTATAGTTATATTTTTGAGGAATCAAAATGATGTTTTAAATATGAAGTTGTCTGAGGAATGTCATAGTATTTTTGCCCATGCTATAATCTGCCTATTGGCTGCAGATGCTACTTTTGCATTTGGTCGTAGTCTCGTTACTCTCGTAAGGCTGTGGCATTTAAAGTGAATGCCTGTTAAAAATTGTTCATTTTGATACTTAGGGGCATCACCTCAGTTGGTTAGTATTAAGAAGGTTATCAATATTACCAAAGTTATACTTAGGGGCATGCATCACCTCAGTCGGTTAATATTAGCAAGGTTATCCCTAGGAGTTCAACTTGGTTGGCTGTGACCAGTTGGCTGGTGCAATAAAGTATTAGTTCACCAAATTGGGTTCAACAAGAGCTTCTTTTTCAATGGGAGAAGCCCGATGACTAGTGGGGAATCTGCTGGTCTGCCCATACAGTGTTTATTGTCATCTTGTTCTCATACCATATTTGTGATTACCTTTGGAATTATTTTTGTTACTGTATGTTTGGTACCAACCATTTTGACATATGTTGTAGCATAGCTATGGTAACCAGCTGCCACTGGCTTCCTAGAATGTTTGATTCACTTGTTTGTGGGGTAGCCACTGATGGGATTGGGCAGAGTTTTTAATACAAAGTTTGTCCTCTATTTCTATATTTGTTTGAGCTGCAGCTTTTGGGCTTTTGCTTCTGGTTGTTACCTCTTTGCTATTGACTTTTGTAATGATTTTTTACCTTCTGAAGTGCTTTCTAAAGGTTCACAAAGGAAAGTACAACCAAGTTTGGTGTGGTCTAAGAATGGATTCATTTCTTCGAGTCCAAATGGTTTGAACCCTCTGGTTTTGATAGGGGAAAATAGGCAAGGTGGATACTTAGTTTTCCTTCCCCTTTTTGTGCTAACTCTTTTAGTTTGTTGGACCTAAATGTTTGGGTGGTACATGTTTCACAATATTATTAGTTGGTGTTTAAATATATGAAGAAAGGTTTCCATTTGCTTTTGATTGTGGATGTAGGAGGTTTTAGAAATTGTCCAAGCTAATCACACCAGTTACTTGGCGATGAGCATTTCTATCTTTTCATTTTTTGCTCTTGTGGAAATCAGCACTAGACCACATCCATCTAGTATCAAAAGGTATCATGCTTCTGACTTTCCAGAATCTGTGGTAAAGTAGCTTACCTGCTTAGTTCTTAGAGATTCCAGTTCATGTGGTCATTGGCGAGTAGATTCTTTTGAGTATGCTTTCCTGAGACATTTTTTTTCTCTTCATGTGTTCCCTTACCAATGCCTAGCATTTCCAGAAGAGCCATGTTAGCTCCATCTGTTTTCTTATGGTTCTAAGGTAGAGTAATATTGGCCCGGATCAGAACTGCTACTTCCAGGTCTGTTCTCTTATGGTTCTAAGGTAGAGTATTAGTCCTGATTGGAACTGCTACTTCTTGGTTAGCTTGAGCTT